TGTATTCGCCATATAGCTCAAAACTTCATGAGGCATTTCAAGAATACAGAACGGAAAAAATTAATCATCAATATGGGTATGTACTTAGCATCATTAATTACTTTAATTTGTTTCACCATATTTCAACATTACTAAATTGTTTATTTTTTCCTAATCTGATTTCACAGCTTATGGGATGACTGAGCCAAGATTCAATTACTACTACAACACGCTAAGGGGCGAACCAAAAATTGAAGGTGTAATTGAATGGCTCAACACCATACCAAAAGAACAATGGACTCTTGCATGGGACGATGGACGACGATTGGGACAGCTTCCAACATCTATTTCAACGTTAATTCTTAACGTCGGAAAGGTCCGTTCTTGGCCCGTTTCACGTTAACAAATGCCACTCTATTTCTTTAAGCAGAACGGCCCGTTTTGATTTCGGAACGGGCCGTTCCGCTTCCAACGTCAGCCCACATCTCCCCTGCAAACACAAAAAAAAAAAATATAAAAGCAACTCAGAATTCAGTTCCCCGGAAACCGAATTCTGAGTTGAAAAAAAAAAAAAATACATATTGATGCTCAGAATTCGGTTCCCCGGGAACCAAATTCTGAGCTTAAACAGTAAATGGTTCTATCCATGTAAATAAAGCTGCACAGTGATTAATTAAGTAATTTTTTTAAAAAAAATAATATTTCTGTAAAAAATTCAATGTGTGCAGGTAGCACTGTAGCAGACGCGAGGAGACAGATTTTTACTGTAAGAAGAGGTGCCGAGGACTGCTATCCGTGATTTGCCCTCAAATACTCTTCACGAGACATGTAACCAAAAGTGTGGTCATAAGAACAATTACCGACGTTTGTGACTTTAACTCATTCTTCTTTCAAAATTTAAACTCTCAATTTCGAGTCTGAATTTAATAAAAAGAATATTAAGATGGATAATTTTAATATAGTTTAGATTTTAAGAAACGCTATTTTTTATGAAATGGCGAAATTAATAAATAATTTTATTAATATCATGGTAAAATAAAATTAAAACAATTTGATCTTTCTATTATCAAGTTTACTTTTGGTGTGAAGGTAAAATCAATGCAATACTTATACACTAACCAATGAATTAAAACTATTTAATAATATTAACTAATTTAATATACTTACTTATTTAATAATGATAATAAAAAATGTAAATGTAATGATTTTTAAATTAAAAAGAGTAATGGAAGACTTAAGGAAATTATCGAAGATAAAAAAATTTAACAACTTATAAAGTATAAATTTCTCTGAATAACTTATGAAAATAAATAATGAGTTTTTAAAATGATTTTTCGTACCAAATAAATTATTTTAGTTAAATTATTTTATAAATGAATGAAAAGAATTTAGTGAAACACATCTTTTATCTTTCAAACTGAGATTAAATTTCTTCATAACTTGTTCAGAGTCATAAATTTGTTAGGGCATCAAGAGTAATTAAAACATATCCTTGAGTTTCACAATTGAAACCCTTATATAACTTTTCTATAATTTCAAAGCATTTTGTTAGGAGGGGTGAAATGAAGGGTTTGTATTATGACCTTATTTAAGATTTGTGAATGACTTATTTACTAAAAAGATTAAATTCAATTTTCTTAATTAATCTTTTTAAAGTTTAACTAAAAATGTAGATTTAAGACTTTTAAGTCTAATAAATAACAGTATTTTTTATGTTTAGATTTGAGTGGCATACTACGTTCTTAGATCATTGGTTCCAACTTCCATCAGATTCGGAACCCTTGAAGGAGAGCCATAATCCGAGGAAGGAGAATATCTACCTGTTGAACACAAGTGACCATGCTGATGTATCACCTCCTTCAACCATGGAACAATATCACTCATTTTAATAGAAAAATACATTAATTATTTAAAATAAAAGGTTCATAAATATATATATATATATATA